GACTTGAATACCTTTCTTAGGTCAGTTTGATAGTAGAGGTTGTGAGTTGCAAAGTTGCAAAGAGTTCTTTCAGAATTAGTTCCATAGATTATAGTTCAATGTCAGGGTGATCCTGGAGCTGGAGACCTCAGTCTTGTGACTAAAACTTCCCCTGATGAAGCTTAAGCAGATATGAGATAACAGGATCAGGGCCCAAGAGTTCTTTTTATAGTTCTCTGGCAGCCTCTTGACAGCAGGTATTCCTTGGGTGAAGCATTGTAGCTTTGAAGTAGAATTTCCTATGTATTCCCAGGAAATTAGTTGCATTCATCAGCATAAGGTAATTATCCATTAAGCATTTCATAGACCGTTTACTACAGACTTCAAAGACAAATATAGACAATGATATTGTTACACCCAAGCTTCATCAAAATGTTCATATTCCCTTTTGATCTTTGAATCAATAGAACAGGGGTCGGTAACCTTCAGCATGCAGCCCATCAGGGTAATCTGCTGGCAAGTCACGAAACATTTTGTTTACGTTGACCGTCCGCAGGCACAGCCCCCTGCACCTTCCAGTGGCCACGGTTCGCTGTTCCCAGCTAATGGGAGCTGCGGGAAGCAGCAGCCAGCATGTCCCTGCAGCCCGTGGCTTCCCACAGCTCCCATTGGCCAGGAATGATGAACCGCAGCCTCTGGAAGCTGTGAGGGGCCGTGCTTGCGGACAGTCAAAGTAAACAAAATGTCTTGCGGCCCACCAGCAGATTACCCTGATGGGCCACATGCCAAAGGTTGCCAACCCCTGCAATAGAACATAGTGACAGACAGGAACTGTTTGGTTACATTGTTAACTTCTAACAAGATATAGAAAAAACACAGACAAATACAATCACTATCTTCTTCTAATTCTCTAACAATGCAACTCTATATTTCAAGGCTCTAGTTTATCTAACATGGAATGGCCCTAATTACCATCTATGTACTTTTAAATATGTCTCTAAAGGCTGGATTTGGGTCATGTAGCCTGCTAGTTGCTTAATCCTTTCTGGGTCAGTTTCACAATAATAAAATATGTATTCCACTGCACCGTTTAAGGCCACGTCTACACTACAGAGTTAAGTAGACTTAAGTTCAGACTTGACAAAGCCCTGGCTGGGATGATTTAATTGGGGATCGGTCCTGCTTTGAGCAGGGGGTTGGACTAGATGACCTCCTGAGGTCCCTTCCAACCCTGATATTCTATGATTCTATGATAAGTTGCATCGTTGATCATAAACCGCTGTAATTACATCGCTTGTGTATGTTCACATAATGCTCCTTGTGTCAGTGGAGCGCCTCCGCAGTTGGTGCTCTAGCACTGAGAGAGAGAGCAGTGCACTGTAGATACCAATCCCACTGTGCAAATTGCCATATTTTCTGACTAGGAGTTCTGGGAATGGATCATAGTGCATCATGGGGATGGATCACCACACCATGATGCAGTTTTCTCCATCCCATAATTTCAAGGGCTTCCAACTGTGTGTTGCACCATTTTTCAACTGCCCCAGTAAACTTTGCATCCACCATCTCTGCCAGAAATCATGGATCCTGCACTGCTCTCCAGTCTTTTGTGATGAGAGTTATGAACACAATGCAGCTGATTCTGCAGTATATCATGAGCTGCAAATCTGAACAGAAATCCATGGTGCCTGCCCTGCTGTGTGCCATGAAAAGAAGCAATTCAAGATTGACATTGGCATTCATGGAGCAGCTGCACACAGTGGACTGTCACTATTGGGCTCAGAGAAACAAGCACTGAGAGGTGGGATCAGATTCTGCTGCAGGTATGGGATGACGAGCAGTAGCTGCAGAACTTTCGTATGTGCAAAGACACCGTCCTTGAACCTTGTGCAGAGCTGGCCCCAGCCCTGCGGTGCAAGGACACCAAAATGAGAGCTGTCCTAACTTTGCTAGACACTAAAAATCATGGCCTTAATCAAGATACTGGTGGCAGCTGCTGCTGCTTCTTCTTTCTTTATTATTATTATTATTTATTATTTTATATTTATATTATTACGGCTTATTACAAAAATCAGTAACCCACTAAAGCCCACGTTTTGTCCTATGACTACAGAGGTATTAACAGGCCACTTCACCTTGAATTGCCACTTAGAATATGTGCTAACTACCTATGATAAACTATCTGCTTGATCTTGTATTTAGCTGTGACACTCTTGTATCTTTCCCAGACCTGAAGAAGAGCTCTGTGTAGTCCAAAATCTTGTCTCTCTCACCAACAGAAGTTTGTCCAATAAAAGATATTACCTCATCCATCTTGACTCTCTAAAATGCAAGCTATCAGCCCGACAGTGTGCTAGCCACAAGGAAGAGGTGTGGTATAGGTGGTGGTGGTGGTGTTTCTTTCTTGTGGTTGTGCAGGGCCTACATTTCATTCTGAAGGTGGTAAAAGCAGTGGTCATTCTCTTCTGATCTTTTTTCCAGTCTTCATGCTTTTTCTGGTGGTTCTGGCCAGAGAAACAAACCAACACACACACAAAATAGTGTCTGTTACTTAAGATTCACTATTAAGTTTTTAAAAGTTTACGATGCCAGCATTCTGGTGGAGTTTTTCTTTTCACGGTTAGCTTATTCAATAAAAATCAGAGTGACATAAACAGCTATGTTTTCATTCTGGCAAACCTGTAACTATTGTGGTTTGGTTTTACAAGGACACAACATGGGCATGTAGGTATATAAAGTATTCTAGACTTTCCAGATTACCTCTGCTTGTTTGTGGTAGCTATATTAAGATAACTTCCTTTCCCTCTTCAAATAATTCTTGCCCAATTTCTACAGCCATAAGAGGAATAAAAAAAAACAACAAGTCCCATCTCTCAATATACATCCATGTAAATGCAGAGACAAGCAAAATCTCAATCCTTAATGTTGCTAAAATGTGGGTAAAATCATACAACAAAACTGCACTGCATATGACAATCCTATGAGAACTAAGAGGAAACCAAGGGCTGATGTCTAAAAGGTAGATTTTCAAAAGTGCCTGTGTGACTTTGGAGCATCAGTTCCAACAAGATCAATGAGACTGGTGCTCCTAAATCCCTTACCTGTTTTTTCAGAATTCCACCCTTAATCACTACCATGCTCTAATAGGTCACCTACTACCTGGTGACTGTGATGACTTTACTAACTTGACTCCTGCAGGAGCCAGTTAACTGTGTCAACAAAAACACTTTCAGAGCCAGATAGCTCTTCACTAGAGCAGACAGCTCTTAAGTTTTATTTTGAGGACATAAAAAAATTGGCAAATGTATTTATTTTTAAAGTATGGTAGTGATGATCTTCCTTTTATATATTTGGGAGGTAAGGGTGCCACAGACTTGCATTCATCAGCCTGGGTTTGATGGCTTAATAAGTAATTCAATAGGAGAAAATAATTATCCCAAACTTGGTTTAAGCTGTAATCAGATTTCTGGGTCTTGCTGCATACTGTAGTCATATTAAATGTAAACCCATATTTAACTGGCTATGAATTATACAGCTGGAGCACGGCATTAAACTGGAAATCATTGCCCTACATTATGAGAGACAGCATGGGGTAGTAGAGAGACCATGGATTTGAGAACCAGGAGCTCTAGCCTTCTACGGTTGCCTGCCATGGATTTGCAGAATGGCCTTGGGCATATTACTTGACCTTTGTCTCCATTTCCGCATCAATCAAATGGAGACAGTACTTAATTACCTTCCTCACAGGAGCATTTTGAGGATTTAATTAATGTTCGTTGTGCTTTGAAGAAGTCACCTGCCCATACAAGTGCTAACGACATGTTGCAAACATAGCCTACCCAGCATCCTATGCGGTCACCCTAAATAAAACTGACCTGATTTTTAGAGATGCTAAGCACACACAACCACATGTGTGATGCAATTCACATCAATGGTAGCTGCAGAAGCACAGCAAACTCAAGGTCAGGCATCTAAATATAAAGTTGGGTGTCTAAAGTTAGATACCCATATCTGGAAAAAGGAAACCGCATGTACAGACACATACTAGCAAATAAAGCATTGTTTGCTTTTATTCATGTCCAACTGAAGCCTTCAGAGATCTAATAAATACCAGAAAAATTCACAGCCAGGTTTCTCTCTAGTTTATCCGGAATGGTTAAAATGTGTGTAATTCTTATAGCTGTTAACAGCAACCTTACCAATATAAAAAGTGGCATAAACACCTTGTGCCTTTAACACCGATTGTCATCTCCTCCCCAATTGTTCTCCTGCCATGTAATTTAAACAACCATATGCTATCCACTGATTTTGACACCAAGGTCTGCTTTCTTTTTTTTTTTTAGCCTGAATAGAAATTAAGCTGTTAAAATAGTACATTACTATCGATTCTGCCTATCCTGTTTCGTGATCCCCTGTGAAGAGGACCAGATGGAGTCAATTCCTGTTTGCTCAGACACATTCAGTGGAATTTAAATAATGGGTTGCTAATTTAGTATTTTGAAGGGTAAAATTGCAGTCCTGCTCCATGATGAAGCTGCATGCTGTGCTGCTGTCATGTTCTAAAATAGGCAGAAAACCTATCAAAGATATTCTCCCAGGGAAGAGTCATAGAGCTAGAGAGAGGAGTTTAATTATGCATTGAACCCTCATAGTATCCGAATTAAGAGTAGATATTCTATAGAACAAAATCTTGAATGCTGCCATGTTAGAGATGTAGAAGATAGCCTGTTATGAATTTTACGATATGTTCATGTTGTTTTCAACAAGTTTATGTATGCAATGATTGAGCTCTCCACTTAAAACAAATGCTTTGGGCTTGGTCACAAATGCTCTTTGAATCTCAGTTGAACAGAAATAAGAACAGACAGCACAGTGCTTCCATTAATGGTATCGTGTTGCAAACTGCGCTGTGATCATTTTTTGCAAAAACATGGATCAAAGTTCACAGTGCACTCTGTGAAGCTTGAGCAGCTCTATACTACGTTATACCCAGGCAAGAAAGGAAACAAAACCAACAAACAATGTGTACCATAGCTACTAGTTTATTTAAGATAGTTATGTTGCTCCTTGGACATTTTGCTATCTTAAAGGTTCACTAATCAAAACTGTGTACAGTATCCAGAGGGCACATATATTTGACGCTTTCTAGCAAAGGTGTTCCTAGAAACATGAAGCTGTTCGACGTCCGAGAAGGCTAATAGTTGGGATACCCGTCTGTTTGCCACAGGGCTGTTCACCATTTTTGGAAGGACCTCTTCCCAAGAGTAGTAATCTAAAGAATTTAAAGGAATGAAAATGGTAAGTGGCTAGTAGTGTTCCCAGATATGCCATTGTGCAGGTGTAGCAGAATAGCTCAGGCAGTGCTTGTGAAATGTTGTCCTTTGATATTGTTTGGAGCACAGTGCTGCGTGTATGTGTAAGCAGCAGCTGCATACTGTCAGCTCAGAAATGTATACATTTTTCCGAATCCTTTTAACATTTTATTGTAGATAGATTCGATGTGTAGAATAAAACCCACCGTAAGCTCTAGTATTGCTGCCATAATTAACTTGGGTGATTACTTGAAATCTTACAAGTTTCAGTTTTAGTAAAATGAAATGCACTTGCGCCATGTTACCTGGGGAGGAAGTTCCCAGTAAAGGAAACTATAAAATCAACACATTTAAAATGGAAAAAAATGAATTAGAGAAGTATTTTATTAAAGAAATAGTTGACTTGTGGATTTCACCATTCAATGTCACAGAAAATCATTTGAGGCCAATTGTTTACTAGAGGGATGTGGAGGGGAGATGTACACACACACGATACATATACACATGCATAAGAGTAACACTTATGGCTATGCTCTATGGTAGGTTGAAACCTTATAGGGATAGGTTTCAGAGTAACAGCCGTATTAGTCTGTATTCGCAAAAAGAAAAGGAGTACTTGTGGCACCTTAGAGACTAACCAATTTATTTGAGCATAAGCTTTCGTGAGCTCATGAAAGCTTATGCTCAAATAAATTGGTTAGTCTCTAAGGTGCCACAAGTACTCCTTTTCTTTTTGCTTATAGGGATATTCATCTTCATGCAAAACCTACTGGTAGTTGCTATAGTTCCCACTGAAGGAAAGGATATCCTACTGGTCAAATCAGGATACCAGGCTAGGTGGACCAATGGACTTCTCTGGTATATTATACAAACCTAATACAACATCAGTTAATATATATTTAGGGATAAGTATCCAATTGTAGTAATACAGCATGATCATTGTCTTTAAAAAGTGAGTTCTACTGGCAAGCAAAGTGTTCCAGATGCTGGGATTATATTGTTTTTAAAATAACAATATAATTTTTCTACTCTTTTGGTTTACAAATGTTTTCTTACACTAATCTTTCAAGTTAGACTCACACATCATAAGGCCAAGAGGGACCTTTGTGATCATTTAGTCTAGGGATCTGCAACCTTTGACCCACGGCCCACCAGGATAAGCCCCGGTGGGCCAGGCCCATTTGTTTACTGCCACATCCGCAGGTTCAGCCGATCGCAGCTCCCACTGGCCACAGTTCACCGCTCCAGGCAAGGGATGTGCTGGCTGCTGCTTCCCACAGCCCCCGTTGGCCTGGAGCAGTGAACTGCGGCCAGTGGGAGTTGCAATCGGCCAAACCTGTTGACACGGCAGGTAAACAAACCTGCCTGGCCTGCCAGGGGCCTTACGTTGGAGGGCTACTTGCCAAAGGTTGCCAATCCCTGATTTAGTCTGACCTCCGTGTGCTGTTTTGTGTTCAGTATTGAAAACTTTGATTATAAGTGCTTAGAGTAGAGGTAGTCCACACTAAAATCCTTTCTGTGAATAGCTTGATGGGAATTCACAACTGGGTTTGAATTTTGTGACTCAAATCTCACTGCTTTTAAAAGCAGAATATCACTTGCTACTAAATGTTTAACCATTGACCGTGATCTAAATTTCTGTCCAAGATGAAGAAATTACCTTACCTGGTATGTTACATCTTACCTTTAAAACAGTCACCTGATGTGTTCTTCTGTAAGGCCAGTTTGACTTCAAGCCAAGGCCTGTGTGTCCTTTGGTCATGGATTTTTAGTGGCTGCATGCTCCAGAGATGGGATGTGCAGATAGGGAATCAGCTGTTTCATGCAGCTTGCAGAAGGTGACACTGACCTTTCCTACAAATTGCTAGTGACTTTCTGTACTCTCCCATCTCCTTTCCTCCTCCTGCAGGGGAACAGATACTCAGTAAAGACCAAAAATCATATTTTACACCCTGTCCATAATCTTACGCACGTGGCACAGTATAAACTTATGAGGTAGCAGTTTTCATAAAGCCCTGGCAGGAAACATTATGGAGAGGAATTTTTAAAAACTCATCCTCAGTGAAACATAAATGTCAGCTAAAATATTCTTTGGACTTGAACAGTTATTTATTGACATAACATTTAAATACTGTATTAAGCACAATTAATTAAGAATAATACATTGCACTTTCTGTCTGAAGATCTCTTACTGATTTATAGACATTAATTGCTTTAGTTTCACAATTCCCCTGAGCAGTAGGTAGATAAATATCACTAACTCCATTTTACAGACCGGGAAAAATTAGGTTCATATATATTGTGACTTTGCCATAGAGTTGCTTTGTCACCTCAAGCAAGACAGGAAAAAAATCCAAGTCCTTTGTGCTAATCACAAAGGGTACTGTTTTTCAAGAGCTCCTATGTTGGTTAGGAACTTATGACCCATTTTCAAATGTGACATAGGAACATGTGGGTGTGAAAAGCTGGGCCCACATCTAATGACCTCAGGAGATTTGGCTATACAATGTGTACTAAGTACCCCCAGAGTATGTCTTAGAACAGCAATCAACAATCTGTTGTGCAATAGCCAGCTAAGGAGGGTTTGTTGTTTTTTGAGGGGGGGAGGGAGTTTGAGGCCAATTAGAACAACAGATGGGCAGCTCATGAGGGGTTCTTCCATGATGGTCTGGTTCTGTGTTTCACTCCCTTTTGATCTATAGTTTTGGTGGGTAGCAGATTTACTGAACCTAAAATCCTTAAGCAGTGAGACTCCGGATCTACAGACCAATATATTTTGCAAGTCTCTCATCCTGGGGCCCTGACCCTCAGACTGGTATATGTTGTATTTGAACCTGCCTCTGGTTCTATCCTTAAGATCTCACTTGCTTTTCCCCTGCTTTGAAGTACTTTAGTTACCATGGAAACAATGTCACTGGCTTGGGCTTCTAAATCTTGAATATATTGAGATTTTTGTATGTGTTTTCTTTCTTCCCTCACTCATGTATATACAGTATCTTCTCTATTGCTCCTACACTATACTTTGTCTGCAGCCACCTCCAAGAAATGGCGCTGAACAGTCTAATCATTACCATTTCATAAAGCCAAATACTGGGATACTTCAGTATTTTGTTCATGTTTGTGCTGGAAACAATGAGATTGCTTTCCTCGTAGTGCTTCTCGTGATAGGAGCATGGCCTTATTCAAATCATATTTGGGGCCAAAGAAGAAAAAGTCCCAATATTTTAAATTTACGTTTATTTAAAAAAAAAAAGACAAGTTTGGAACCTATTACATTTATACCAAATACAAGTGCAGAGCCCTTTTATTTAAAGTGCCAATCAAATTGTTTCTGTTGTGAATGTTCCAGATTGCAAACTATATGTAAGATAGAAATACACCATAATTTTCTTAAATCTAAATGCTGCATTTAAGAAGGATTTGGTTGCAGATTTTTTTTAAACATCCAATTTCACAGTGCCGGTATTGTGTCTAGCTCTATTCAAAGATGCACAGAAATTTAAGCTAGAGGTAAGACTGATGACAGTTACTTATGGCTAAAAATAAAACATGGTGTTTTTTTTAATTCATAGTTAAATTTAAAAGGACCCCCCAGTCATGCTTACAATGGAAGGTAAGTTTGAACCTGAAAGTCTCTATAATAAATTGATCAACTGATATGGCACAAGCTCTATTTTGTAGACAAGATTTTTAACAAAAACTTGTTTTGTGGGGTGCCACTTCAAAGAACATAAGCTACCGAAACTGTGACGTAAATGCTGTTGTTAAAATTGTTTGATTAAGAAGCTTGTGGAATGTGTCAGCATTGTTGCACTTTGTGGAACAAAAGGAGCAATGACCTCTTCATGAAAAGAATGTTGTGGATAAGCTGATTGGTACCTTATCAACTTAGTTGTTGTAGCTATGCCAGCCAGACATGTTCGCATTACTTAGACATGCTGTGTGGTGGTATTTATACTCAGACAGAGGTGTTTTAAGATTGATCTATGACCTCATCTGGCAGAGGTAGCTGCTGCCCATTCCTTAGAGTTGACAATAAAGTTTAATCCCACCTTTGAGAAATTCCCTATTTTAAAATGTCTCCTCCACAAAATACTTTGGAACCATGTTGAAGCTAGATAATAAGGATTGTATGATCATTATAAGCTACTGTCTTGCCCTGTCCAGCAAGGAATGTTAGTGAAAATAGGTTTCATTGTTATATTTATTTGGCATCTGTACACTCACTCACCCACCTGTTCTTTAGGCTAATGATTAATGACTGCATACTTCGTAGCTGATACTGTTCTTTAAAATACTTCTGAATTTTGATTTGAACCGTTGATTAGTATTTTTGAAAAATACAGCACAGGAGGCTTGAGTATAAATTGTGAGCATCCAGAAAACTCTGGTGGGCTTACAGCCATGTTTGTGCAGGAGGGGAAATTTCTAATGTAGCAGTTAATCAAAAATATCCTTTAGTTCACTTTCAGAGGTGTTAGTCTGATAGGACTGGCCCAAGAAGTATTCTATCACTAAACTGGCCAATCTAATCAGACAAATAGCAAAGCTTCCAAGTTCTGAGTCTAGGAAACTGCTCTCTATTTTGAGTGGATTAGTTATCATCTTGTTCTTTGTATCATACAACTCTAAAGAAAACAAGAAAAAAAATTAAAAGGTGAGCAAATGGGGGTCCCTTTTCTGTGTTCATCTCTTTCTTTCATACTTCCTGTGGCAGTTGCAGTGAAACTGGAATGGTAAGCAAAACAGATAAATTCAAGTAATAGGTTGACAGTACAAACCTGTGTGAGGGAGAGGAACACACTAAAATGTCCAGGTACAGAAAAGAGGTCGGGAGTCACAGAAGAGGATGGAACTCAAAAAAGGGTGGACTGAAGAAAAAGAGACGGGAGATCATGACTAAGGAAAGAAAGATAATGACTGGTGAGCATGGAATTAAAAGGAGAGATGAAAGGACTGGGAGCGCTGGCATAGCAGGAGAGAAAAACAGGAGGGTGAGATGAATGGGAGCTCACTCAATGTATCTTTCTGTGTGTCTAATATAATTAAGTAATGTGTCATTCAGTTATTATAGGTCAAATAGTTTGTGTACCTAACATATTGCTAGTGGAAAAGTTTTCTCGTAGATTTCAGTTTTCTCATTTATATTATCCATGATGTACTATAATAAAGAAAAGACTGTGCAAAAAAAAATACAATTTTCATTTAAATCTTTTCCTTCTACTGTTAATTTCTCCTCGTGTATTTAGGTGATGGTAGCACAGTCGGAGCAATGTTCCCTCACACAGAATGGATCTGTCTTGCATAGCTGCATTCCTTCATGGACAAGTGCAGAATATAAAATAAGAGCTCCAGAGTGTAGACTTCTTCCTTATTGAGCAGACACACAACTTGGCCAAGATTTGAGGAGTAGAGAGAGAGAGAAAACTTGTCATAGTGTGCTGAGTCTCCTGCTATCTTATACAGCACAAGGTACAAATGGGAAAATTAAGTAGGGAAGGGGCACCAGGCCTTGCAATTTTATTGTACTGACTATTAAAGTTAGATCCTTGAATATATATAAAAATGAAATGTTTGTCATATGTGGGATGTAAAGAATTCAGCAAAATAAGCAAAAGCTTCTTTGGCCTGACTATCCCACTAGTCATGGGTAAAGTCACTTTGAATGCAGCTGACAGGATAATCAGTCCCTTTATTTCTGAGATTTTGAGATGATCACATAAATCTCAATTTGGAAGAGCGAAGAAGAGTCATGGGTGAATTGTCAGGTCTTTCCAACCAAGAGAAAAATCTAAAGCTTGTTTGATCTCTTCCTGAAAATGGATTTTGTAAAAAGTGTATTTTGTACAAGAAATTATTTCATTCACTTTAGTAGACTCATGCTGCTTCCTTTTCAGTCAATAATTATTGCACATAATATCTAAGGACCAAATTTGGGTCATGTTCTCCATGTATATTACCCTCAACCCATGTACATTGCTCCTACTGGTTCGATGGATGTTATAACACTGAGAGAGAGTACTTGCATTCCCCTTTGTGGATGACCTGTTATTACTTGCAGTCTAGCAAAGCTGTTATGCTCTTTCAGGGACATAAAATATTTCATTTATGTATCCTCAGTGGTGTGTATGTTTAATATAGAGAAGGATCCCAAAGCTCTTTACAAACTATGCAGGGATCACTCCACGCACAACTGAATTAAAATCACTCAAATGCAATAAAAGTTTAACAGTGTTCTGCAACACATTGCAACAATTTTGGATAGTAAATTAAGTGGACTATTTCATATCCAACTGAAACTGCAGACGGAACTTTAAATAGACAGAATATATCTACCCAGCTTGTAATTTTTCTGGGGTAACACACATAGTTATAAAGAGGACTTTAGTTTTACATCTCAGTTGGAAGACTGCAACTCTAGAAACAATGTCCTATAGTTCCATCCAGTTATGTTGGTTGAATGTTATTTCCTGCAGCATTTTGATGTGCTCTGGAAACCTCCCATCCAAATAGTGACTTGGACCAACCCATCTTCTGTGTGGTGAAATCAGACTATAATCAATTGGTGTTTGCAGTGTTATTGTAGCTGTGTTGGTCCCTGGATGCTTGAGAAACAAGGTGGGTGAGGTACTACTTTTTATTGGACAACTTCTGTTGGTGAAAGAGACAAGCTTGTCTCTCTGTACAGTGATTGAGGTGTACATTTTATTAGCCCAGTTTTTCTCAAGACAGGTATTCAGTTCCATGTTACTAAGAGAAGATTGGGTAGTGATGTAGCTGAGTCATTTGTATCTGACCTTTTGGTATAGGAAGTGTCCTGTCCCAAAACTGTGTGTGTTCTCCCTTGTTTTTGTCCCACAACAAGATGAAGTTGGGAACTGTGGTAGCGTTAGCCTGCCCTGC